CCACAACATTGCTTGCAAGACATCGACAGCGTATGGATTATTTCTCTGGTGGTCCGACACCACGCCGCCAGCAGCAATTTCGTCGACAATTTGGATCGCATAGTCCAACTGACGTCGTCGGTAGTAGTTTTTGAACGTGGCAATAATACCAGCATCCATTGGTTGTAGTACTGACGTCGTGTTCGGTGGCAACATGAGCACCCTTACATTGCTGATATCTGCCCGAACGACTTGGTGCGACAAGGCATTATCCAGAAGCAGTAAAACATGGCAGTTTTGTCTTGCCATTTCATCATTCAGTTCATGATACATTCGAAAAAGATTGCCATCCAGGTAAGCGAGCCATTGTACTCTTATGAACTGAGAAACCAATTACTTGATTTGCCCAGTTACACATTTGACCTAAGGTCATTTGGTCTTGCTGCAGAGCTGTACATGTCACGCAGTGCCTCCTTCTGTTGGAGCGTCAATCTTCTTCCAGCCGATGGCATTTCTTCCGTCGCGGGACAAGTTTGAATTTAAAGTCTTAGGGCATCTCCACCGGTAGTTGCTATTTCTAAAATTACAAACTCTGCACCCCCACCGGCAGTTGCTATTTCTATTTTACTGCCCTTGAGTTTCTAAATCCACGAAAATAGAAATTCTGGAAGAGTCGTTGCTATTTCGCAAACCATGGGGAAAGGTTCAAAGTGGTGCCGGCGAAGACGACCAGTTCGCTCGCTCGTGGGTGTGCACGTCAGAAGATCGTTTGAAAGGGGCTGATCAGTCCAGCGAATCGTTCTGGACAAGTTTACACGCACACTGGTCCATGGCATGCGGCGTAGATGGCCGTACTTCGCAGACATTGAAGAACCGTTGAGCAATCCTCAACAGATCTGTTCAAAAGTTTGCTGGGTACCTCGCCCAGGTGAAGGCTCGACAAGAAAGCCGCAAGACTGACGAAAATTCGTTGGAAGTTGCACGTCTGTTGCACCTTTCGTTGGAGCGTGAAGTTTTTCAGCACGAAGGGGCTTGGCGTACGCTGCGCTGTTGTCCAAAGTGGCAACAAGTTTCAACGACAAAAGCAGTAAAGACATCGTCGCAACCAGCAGATGAAGAGTTGCAGGCATGCACAACGACTTCTTCTCGCCCTATGGGCTGCAAACAAGCGAAGCGCAAAGCTAGCGAAGTGTCAACGACGGACCTCAAGCTTCAAGACCTTGTGCGAACGCAGAACGAGAAGAACAAGCTCTTTGCTGATTTCATGCTGCTTCAAATGCTTCAGAAGTCGACATCGCCTGAGGATGAGGCCATGCTGTCAAAAATGAAGGAAGACTACCTTGCAAAGAGAAGTCGTAGTACGCGTGCATACGAAGACGAAGAGGTAGTCTAAACCAATTTCATTCATACATCTTAAATATATTTCAAGCAGGAACGACCAGGGATAACCTTGACAACCCAGGTCGACCAGGGACGACCAGGGACGACACACAAATGCAATTTTGAAATACAATAAACATTATTGTTGGTCTCCTTTTACTTGCCATAAGTGCTCAACGAGATCTTGTCGTAGCGTGTTGTGTCCAGATGCATCACGAATGCGAGCCATATTGATTGTGAACACATTCACATCACACTGCACAAACGGAACAGATCCATTCGGACATCGAAGGTTTTCAGAAGCGTTCCCATTGACAGCATCGAACTCGATAACCATGTTGTGCAAAATGATGCATGCTTTCACAATCATGGCCATGTCCTTTTGAAACCAAAGCTTGCAAGGTTTAGCAAGAATGTGCCACCGGGCTTGTAGCGCACCAAACGCCCTTTCCACATCCTTTCGGCAAGCCTCTTGTTGCTTTGTGAAATATTTTCTTTTTGCCCTGTCGGGAGCAGAATATGCCTTCACAAAGACTGTCCAGTCGGGGTAGATTCCGTCAACCAGATAATACGGTGTTGAGCGCTAAGTTCCAAATTGGTGAAGCAATTTCCTCATCCCATTCCACCGCGCGAGGGAGACCAACGGTGTAGCAAACACTGCCTATTCCCAGCGATGCTTCGCAACCCCAGGAAGAGGCAGTGTTTGCATGTGCTGTACGCGGGGACGCGGGGCTCTCTCAAGCACGGGATTACACGTTTAATGTCAGAACTTGAAGCGCGTTCTAATCGAGACCTTTTATGTCCTTGAATCAGTATAGTCGACAAGTTTTGTCAAATCCGCTTTCACGTTGCTTTGGACACGGCATAACCGCAGACGCATGCCCGTTGAGACAGTATTGCTCACACATTGTCTTGCCGTTGCACAAATCACGGTACAACATGGAGCGGTCGAGAATGTTAAGATCGTTGCAGGAACCAACACACCCGAAGAAGCAGTGCCAAATACGCAAGTCTTGTGTTGCCACAGCTTCAAG